TTCCCCCTTAGCAACACAGCCTAGGAGAGAAGGCATGCATGCGAGGAAGCAGTCAACTGCTAAGCACTTACTTTGCAATAGAGTGGGGTCTTCTCCTGCAGAGAGAGGAAGCCCCTCTGTTTTCTCAGCATATTGTTCCCGGCTCCTCTTCCATGCCTCTCCTCCCAGTTCCTGCTTTGCTTGAGGCAGGAAGACACTTTGGAAATTCCTTGCTGCTAGCCCTTTCTTCTCTCGCCTTCCCGTCTTCTCCCCCCTTTCCTCTTCACAGTTGCAATTAAAAATATTGCAAACCTTCCCCACCTTTTCAATCCTCCCCCCTCCTACAGATGTTTCTCTTCCCTCTCTCTTACCCATCGCACAATCATGTGGTGGCTCCTACCCAACACGATGCGGTTTATCAGACCTCACCAAGCTAATGACGCTTCTGGGACTCTACGGGAGACTCATTGAAAGCAAGGCTGGGGGTTATGGGGGTCAGATTGGCTTCATTTTCTCGAAACGGACACGTTAACTATATCAACTGTCCAACAAGAGACAGAATCTGGCAGCTCTCTCGCAGAGCCAGCCAGGTTACTACTACATTAAAGAGTAACTGGTTGGCCTTTGGTGTGCAACCATACACAGCAACACAGGCCCAGCATGTGCATGTGCCCAAGCATTGACTGAATGATGTTAATGATGAGGACATTGGGAGGCTTCATCATCTCAGGGTGATTGGTTTTTTTTCATTAGCAACAAATGAGAGAAAATTTTCTAAGAGCATTTTAGTACTGTTGGAAGCACGGAAGATGAAAAATTCACTTCCAAACACTTGCATCTAGCTTGCTTGGTACTTTTGATGGCAGGGGAAAGTGGGAAAACTGTGTTCTGCCATAGTAAATACCTGATTCCTGTTACATTACACTGAGCAGTGAGTAATTCAGGCAATGAGCACATTCACAGATCTTAGCATCCCTGTGACCACTTGGATAAGAGCAGGCTTTACGCTGGAGCTGTCAAATTGGGATGACAAGTTCCCAAGGCTTTCCACTCGCGTGCTGTCAGCTATGCAGTCCATATTTAAGTCACCTTATGAACATGTGTGTTCTTCTTTTGCATGTACCGAGTATATGTGAGGGACAAGTGGCACTGGAGTAGTAGAGAACAGTGGAATGGGTGGGAGAGCCCCACAACATAGCAGAAGGGACCTGGGTTCCTAAAGGAACATCTGTGGCAAAGAGCTCGGCGTTGTTCCTGAAAAACAGTGCTCCAAGCAAATCAGCTTTTTATGTTCTCCTGTGCTACCCAGCTAGCCCTCCCCCTTTGCAGTGCCCGGTATTTATGTTTCCAGATGATAATGATGTGATGTGGCTGGCAGAGTAATTTAAATAATTGGACATTATCGTGAGGAGCAAGCACCTAATTAGATCAAAATAAACTGAGAACTGAAATTTTCATCTGTTTCTAATAACCCCTTACCTCCGTACAGTGTTGCTGCCACGGCAGAGTGTTCATTATCCACACTACCAAGGCTTCAAGTTGACTCGTGATGGAGATTCCCGCCAGGGCAAAGAGCTGGATGGTGGGTTTGGGCCAGCACTTGGTGGCTCCTTCCCTCCCCGGAGCTGCTGAATATTTTGTGTTTCTATTCCTTTGGGTTTGCCCTCGTGTGAAACGGTGAGACTAAGTTTCTGTCAACTAGGACCAGGTTTGGAGGGATAGTTCTAGCGATAAGATACTCAAAGCCTGATCTTACTGACTCTACTTCATCGTTCTTTAAATGCCTTCAATATTTTATGATCTCTCAATTCATGTGTGCACATGCATTTAGAAGGGTGGCAGCCAGTGCGATGGCTGCAGGAAGGACGGGTCCGTTCAGTGCAGACACGGGAGAGGCAGGGCACACGTTTCCTGGCATTAAGTATCGCAGAGACCTGGTGTTGCTCTCCAGCATGTCGGCTTTGATCTGACCTCCAAGAAAGGATTCCCCTAGGTTTTAAAAGTTCACTAAGTGAGCAAAATAATCTTGTTTTGGCTTACGGTTTTCACGTTAAGAAAACTAGAGCTGAAAGCCTTCAGTATTCACAGGGTTGTTTAGAGTGGAAGTTGCCAGGATTACAGGGAAGGGAAGAAAACAAGAGAAATATTTACTAGTGGATGTGTAAGCATACGTTTCTTTTATTCTTAAGGATTGGTTCAGTGTCTTTCTGAGGATTAGTTGCTCTTTCTCTCATTTCCTTATACTCTTATGCAGCTGATTTATTTAAAGGTATGTCAGGGCTGGCTGAAATGAAGCACTGTGCCTCCTCTTCCTGCTTATTGCTGACCGCTCCAATAATTCATTTTTTAGCTCATTAGCTAACAGGGGATGTGAGCAGTGGTCCTCAGGGGGATTGGAATGAGGTTAAGTGATCTACTGCTGACAACTCTGCTCTTGGACTGGCCTTCCTTTGGGGAAATGAAACCTCAAGCAAGACAAGCTGTGGATCCCCGAAGTGAAATTGGGGCATCAGAGAAACAATTACAGTATTTATGTCCTGGTGTCAGGATTGCTAAGGTGAGTGGGTGTGTGGGAGTTGAAGCAGTCTTCCAGGAAAAGCCCAAGAATTTTCCCCGTTTGGGATGAAATGACACTGAGGTGGGGTGAGGATGCCTAGGGATGGTAGCATGATGGATACTTGTTCAGGAGTGATCCATAAGATGTGGAGAAACAGGCATCTCCTACATTTGTGATGAAGTTTTGTTCTCTATGAGGAAATGCAAGTGATTTATCTACTGGGCCGTTGGAAAAGATCTAAATTTCATTTGATGGCTGATGCCAGGGACATGCTGCCCCCAAATGTCTGAGGCTTTTAAAACAGCTTTATTTTGTCCCAATGGGTTGTCACCAGGAACCTGAGGGATACTTTCCCAGACAGTACAAGCCCAATGGTAGAATTTGGCCTTAATGAATTGAGTCTTTTGATGCCCTAAGTGGTCAGTAGTTATTGGGCATTTGCAAAAACACAGAAACTGAAGTGTGATAGAATAACCCACCTGAGAAGGTTGAACATTTAGCTGTTAGTAGCCCAGAGACCTGGTGTGTCAGTGAATGCCTCCTGAGCACCCCCGTTTCACTTGTTGCATAATGAATTTTCTACACTTAAGGAAGTCCTGGCCGAGGCAGGCAGTATGTAGGCTGCAGAAGACGGCTTCAAGGAGGGGCCATTTCCACCCTGCTCCTTTCCTCCCCTTCCTCACTCAACACATGCTCCCAGTTCTCTGATGTATTTTTTTTTTAATTATTTTCTCATCTTTTACCAGCCTTTTTGGACAGTCGGGTAATGAATCCAAACAAGACATTGGTGGGAAGGTCTCTCCTGCTTCTGCAGCCTCCCAACTTGGTGGGGGCTGCCTTCACCCACCCAGCTCCTGGCAAATGGCATATCTGTGCCCAGGAGCATGCGAAATGGCAGCCTGCAGCCCCGCACCTCTCTTTGTTTTGGGACGTGGCATGGCGTTGCTGTTCGTTGAGGGTGCATTGTGACTGGAATTGGGAGATTTGTGTGGAACAGCTTGTTTTCTGAACAGAAAGTGACTTCTCTTCAAGCCTGGTTATTGCAACAGCTGATGCTGGGACTGGAGCCAAAAGTAACCATCGCTCAAAAACTGGGCTGGGGGAGAGGGGATTCATTTGCTCTCTCAACTCCTCTAATTTTGTGTGTGTTAGCGGTGGTGCAGGCAGAAGCTACAGCTGAAGCATATTTTGCCATTAGGATGTATGAGCCTAGGAGAAGTAAATCCCCTAAGCCCTGACATGTGCCAGTGTTGTTGTGCAGTGCAGGTTGGATCACTTGATTCTTCAGGCTGGCACTTCTAACTGTGCGGTTGGATATATTGGTTATACTCTGTATACCTTTATGCATACTAAAATTATATGTGTGTATATATATTTTTATATATAAAGTGTGTGTGAGTGTATATATATATATATATGAGACATTTGCTAAGCAGATATGATTCTGTGGTATGATAGGGCTAGATTAATACTGGACCTGCAGTAGCTTCATTGATTAAGAGCAGCTAAAAAATTTAAATGCTGCCATCCAGCCTCAAAAGCACTGCTAGTATTCTTGTGGGTGTTGTCGTTGGAGGGTTTTATTTTCTTTTGGTTTTTAACCTTAAAAAATCACAAAGCACACGAATTCAAGTTTGGAAGAGTAACAAAAGTCCTTTTCTTCCACCTCTCCAGGGCGAGCACCTGAAATGACACCCCCTTTTATCAGATAACCTACCAACAAAGGTTAATTTGCAGCTCTCCAAATGGTTTTTAGGTGGTTTTTGATTTGGGTTTTTTTTTCCTCCTTTTCTTCTTTTTTTTTTTTTTTCCCCCCCCATCTTTTAGATGGCAGGAGTCACTCCACAGTTTGATTGAAACAAAGCGCTTTTTGTGCTAATTTTCTGTTTGCCCTTTTTCTTCAGGAAAAAAAGCCTGTACCTCTTTGTAGGGTAAATTGTCCCCGGGTGGAGAGAAGCTCCTGCTTGGGGAAACTTTGCATGAAAGCAGCCCCGGAGGTCACAGTAAGGGCACTCCGCATGTACCAGGAAATGATGCAAAACTAATCCAGATTTGCTGCTGGAAGGATCTGTTTACATAAGTATTTAAAAACAGATTAGGGCTAACCTGACACTAGATTACCCGGAGTAGTGTAAACACTGCTGAAAGGCGTAAACAGAGCTTCTTCCTTTTGTACTCTGGAGGAAAAAATATGTCACCGGGAGCAAGTTGCCTAGACTAGGTGATGGGCAGGATTTTCACAGGCCCAGCAGATTGCCACGTTTCTGTTGCATTGGAAATGTCACGGAACTTTTAAATAAATTAAAATAAAGGAAACATTTCTGCAAGCAGGACCGGGTCTTGCTGTGGTCTTGTGGCCCCTGTGAGATGCAAGCACCGGTGCAGGCCACCTGCGAGGTGGCAGGGCCGTAGCCTGGTCGGTTTTAATCCTCCTCTTCCTTTGGCTCTTTCCCATGTTCTCCAGGGATGAAAAGGAGCGCTGGATCCGCGCGAAGTACGAGCAGAAGCTCTTCCTTGCACCGCTGCAGTGCCTGGAGCTCTCGCTAGGCCAGCATCTCCTGAGGGCTACAGCCGAGGAAGACCTGCGGATGGTCATCCTGCTCCTGGCCCACGGCACGCGGGATGAAGTGAATGAGACGTGCGGCGATGGCGACGGGCGCACCGCCCTCCACCTGGCCTGCAGGAAGGGAAACGTGGTCTTGGTGCAGCTCTTAATTTGGGTGAGTAGCTGCTGCACGGGAACGGGGACGGGAGCAGACCAGAGGTCATCCTTGGCTTGGCTTCTGCCTGTGTGTGCTCTTCTGGCAGAGTGCCCCACACCTCCGACCCACCAGCTTGGCCAAGTGCTCCCTCTTGTCTTCACATTCCTCATTGCATACTCTGAAGGAAATGTGCCTTTTTTTTCCTTTTGTCTGCCCGTGCTTGATAGAAAGCAAAAGTGAGTACAGAATTGAGGAAGGAGAGCTCCTCAGATATAAGCATCTCTCCATAGAAAAACACATACATGAGGCCCATCCCATGTTTTCTGCTCTGCTCTCCTGCCCTCTCCGCACTTTCCTATCCCCAGTTGGACTGAAATCTCCCCAAGCCAAGTCCGTTCCCTCAGCCCCAGGGCCCTGTTGGCGCCCCAGCCCCGACACCTCTTCTCCCCGCAGTACGGCGTGGACGTGATGGCCCGCGACGCCCACGGCAACACGGCGCTGGCCTACGCCCGGCAGGCCTCCAGCCAGGAGTGCGTCGACGTCCTCCTGCAGTACGGCTGCCCCGACGAGCGCTTCGTCCTCATGGCGACGCCCAACCTGTCCCGCAAGAACAACAACCGGAACAACAGCAGCGGAAGGATGCCCACCATCATCTGAGGGACCCGTCGGCGTCTTCGCTGACCGGAATCACACCCGCGGCCTCACATTCCTCCATTCCCATCGCAGCTCTGCTCTGTGAGCCCGCAAACTTTCCTTTCCCCTTTTCCCTTAGTCCCATCCCGGTCCCACGCAGGAACGTCGCCCCCGGAGAGCGCGAGGGCATGAGGAGCAGCAGAGGGGGCTGCAGAGGAAGCTTTGTTTCAGCAGGTGCTCCTGGATGAGGACGGCAGTGCAGGAGCAAGGGCACCCAGCGGGGTTCCCCCCTGGGGCCATGGCGCGGGGAGCGCCAGCACGGCGGCCTCTCGGCACCGGCTCCACCAGTGGGGCAGGACGGGCTGCAGGGAGCGGCGAGTGGAAGCGAGAGGGAGAAAGGAGCAAAGCGAACCAGCAACTTTCCGTAAGTGACAGCCGAGCACATCAGTACGTTTCACCTCTACTGAGCGGAGTGCTTGGATTTCATTCTCTTCTCCGAAGAGCTTGACGGCATAAATCAGAAGCAAGCACAGAGTTTGTCAGGTTTGAAGCTCCTATGATGGTATGTGTCAAATCAGTTGTAGCTAATCTGTCCAGGGAGAATACTGGCTTCATTACACTTGTATAGTTGAGTTCTTCCAGCATTACCGCTGTTTAATAGAACATGATTAGTCATCACGGAGAAAAAAGCATATTAGCTGAGGAGGTAGTTACATGGCACGCTTCGGTGATTGCTTGGATGTGATTGCAATATTCTTAGAAGCATCATATTATCTCAGACATGTTCTCTCAAGCCCTTGGAGCCCTCCTTTCTAAATTCACTGTCATAATTTAGTATCTGTTTAATTTTTCAGCCCAAAGAGGGGAAATGAGTTGCTGAGTGTTATTTGACTGCAGTCTCCTTGGTGTAAAAACAAAATGGAAAAAATAAATAAGAGTAATATGGAAACACAGAAAGGAATAATGAATACTACTAAGGAAAAAACAAAAACATTTCAAGTACATTTAGGGAAATTAAGAAATGCGTTATAGAGGTTAATAATCTTTTTTTTTCAGCCAGCAGAAATATGCCCTGTCATTTTGCCAAGGTAAATGTGTTGAGTTTTTGGTCACTCCTGTGATGCATTGCCTAACTTATACAGATTTTGTATTGTGTCTTTAGATTATATGTATGTAAAATCTATTTGAATAAAAAATCATGAAGATGCATTGCTTTTCTTTTGTACAGAAAATGACATCTCTGTTAATTTATAAACTGTAACGGATGTGAACTAAATAATGTGCAACTAGTTAGGATCAGTGGATTACTGGTCACTGTATGTTGAAAATATTCCCAGCAGTGAACTCCCTATTTCCATTGCAAGCCTTTGAAAAACATATCGGAATGAGATTATGGCACGTTTGGCATTACTATATATATATATATATATATATAAATGGATGAGATGTTTTGGAAAGGAAAAAATGGCTGTTGCTCAGCCTTGTAAATATATTTTACGTCAGAAACCATGGAGCTTTCACAAACCATGGCAAAAAGCCATAGTCTAGCTGGGTGAAGATCAGATTTGATTAATTCCCGAATTGATAGCCGTCACCAAGGCGGGCAGGGCACGGCTGCTTTGACTCCGAACTTGGCTGCTTTCGGGAAGAAAAATGGCTTGTGAAAGTAGCCTGGACAGTTCATTTGAATTCCAAGTTTTAATATTTGATTTGATTATTTTGGTATCACCAGGCGGATCGTAGCTTCTGCTCTTTTCTATGAACCGGGATGCTGGCGCAGGGAAGCAGGCAGTAAGGCTTTGGCAGAAAGAAAAGTGATTTTTTTTTTTTTTTTTTTTTTTTTTCCTTCAAGTGGCATATGGCAATGTGGAGCTGGGGGAAGGGTATATCACAGGGAAAGTTGAAAACTCAACTGAATTAGATGGCAAAGGAGCAATTATGTGAAGTCAGTGAGGTGCACACAGCATAGTAATTTGCAAATCTACCTGCTCCTTCTGCATTTCACAAGCCTTCGGTGGTGCTCCTCCATGGGGCTCTGGATTTCAATTGACAGACAAGCAGGAAGAGAAGAGCAATTGCTAAATAAAATGTAGGTGGGCAAAATAGGAAGGGAGAAAAAATGTACTCTGGCTGTTGTAAGGAATTAAAAAAAAAGACAAATTTTGGTGTAAAATCGTCAAATCAGAGAAGAAAGGCAAAAAAAATCAAGGTGAAAGCAAGAGAATCTCAATCAGCTTTTCCTATCCTGTTGTGTTCTCATTTTGTATTTTATTATTGTATCAAGCATTGGCTGTTGGATGGGGATGGAGTTCTCTTTTAACCAGCCTGGGCTAGACACATCATGTGTAGTTCAAGGGAAGGCAGCAGCTGATTCTGTTTGTGCTGGGATTCCTGTCATTGATGTTTTAAATTTGGGAGGGATACCTGTTTTAATTATCATTCCATCATCGTTCACATGCAGCTCCCTGGTCTTAGGTACTTGGTCCAGCTGCAAGACACCCTGTCCAACCTGCAGCCTAAGAGGAAGCTGTAGAGCCCTGTGTGTCGTGGTGCTCACCAGCTTTTACGTGTGTAACAGGGGACCCAGCGTGAGTTCAGGAATTGAGACTCTTGTTCCCGGAGGTGCTAGCTGCCTGCTGGTCCCCTTGGGACATCAAGGGCATTTTGTCTCTGAACACTAAGCTCCTGTGCTTCAAATGCTCTGCAGAGAGATGTGCCACTGTTAAGTTCTCGATACGTGTTCCTTTTCAGAGCTGGTTTCACCTAATTTAAAATATTTTCCGGGCATAATTTAACGCTCTCGTTGGGCCAGTTTTGTCTTGCAGAGCTAAGAAGGATCCTAGAGAAACAAGGGCAACCAGCCTGTCTTGCAGATCTTGGGTACAAGAATTAAATGCTCCTTTATTAGAGTTTTCCACAGGAGAGTCTTGAAAAAGCATAGCAAGATTTTTTTTTCCAAGAAATTTCTTGGTATTATTGGAAGAATTATATATCCAGGCACACCAACTAATAACCTCGTGCGTTTACTCAAAGCAGTAGCACAGTAGTTTTTAGCCTCAACATAGTTTTTCCCTTGGACATACAGGAGTTAGCAGCGACTACGTGGAACCTTTTGCTGAATGTGTGTGGTGGCTTCCCCAAATTTTTGGGATTGGAAAGTTATTTGCTGTTCTCGGCAGGCCTTTCCTAAAGCTGGCTTCCTTGCTCCATGGACTTGTGCTCAGCAGGAAGGATGTTACAGGACAAAGGTGGTGAACAGATCTTGGGGCCTGTCCTTGCAGGGTGGATGCCATGATGGCAGTCAGAAGGATTTGGTGAGAGGTCTTTTAAAGGCCGCTTAGCAGCTCTTGAGCTGGTGGGAGAGACCACCTAGAAAGGACCTCCTGCCAGCGTGAACTCCGTCCCCTCCTTGTTGCGACCTCCTCATAGCAAATAGCCTCAGTAGGGTGAGCTGTGCTTAAAAACAAGGAAGAAAACCCCAAACATTTCCATCTAGTGTTCCCAGTCTGTGTCCTGAGCTTAAAGCCTGTCGTTCCCTTTGGTATGGTACAGCCTCCTTGGCTTTCTTGCTGCTAGATTTAGGCTTGGGCACAAGGTGAACCGTGCTGACACCCCACTGATGGCCTCACGCTGCAGTGGAGCGCCCAGGTAGAGAAACGTGTCCATGGTAGCTAGTCCAGCACAGCTTCATGGACTGAGGCCTTGGGGCTCTGCACGCTTCCTAGGGGATGCATTTGGGCACCACGAAGGTGGTTCTTGAACTCCTCCATGTGTGGGAGCAGGCGATGTGTTCTGGCTCTGTTGGGCTTTGCAGGAATTGTTCCCGTTGTTGTCCCTCGGTGAACCTGACTCCTGCTCCTTGCCTTGGCTTCACCCCTCTCATTGCTTTTCGGGACTTTGAGCGTGTTGTGAGCAAATTCAGAACAAATTGAAATCTCGTCAATAAGAAACCCTGGCAGAAACAAGATAGCTAAATCTATTTGTGTTTTCTCAGAAAAATGGAGTCTGTGGCTACGATTTTCATCACGTCCCCCCTTTTCATGATCCCAAATATCTTCAAATCCCACTTCCTCTGCACTTTACCCCCAGTGACTAAAACACTACGAGTGAGTGAGCCTTTGCTATTAACATCAGCACTTTTTGTCTATTTATTTTAAGCTAATTGCTGTTGAACTGTAAAGGAGAGTCAGATCCATAAATCTGTGCCTGGCCTCTGTACCTTGACACTCCTCGAGTTCAGTAGGGCTTGCTTCTTGCCAGTGTTTGTGTACAAATAAAATCCAGCCTTGGGAAAATGTAGGGTCTTGCCAGTGCAGAGATTGATCAAGGGCTCCCTTTAGCTGATTTGTGTGGCTAAAAGGGGGCAGAAGAAAAGCTATTTCTGAAGACTCTTGATGCGTCTTGAATCTTGAGCTTGGTGCTGCTCAGAAAGCCAGGTTAGCTCTTGGGAAGAAGAGAGGATTTTAAGCATTTCTACTTGGGCATCGTGTATAATAACTGTGTAAACATTAATGTTGTTTAATTTGCTGTCTTTCCCCATTTCCTTAAATTATGCGTGTTAGTGCAAAAGGCTTTAGCTGCACTCGGAGATTTCCCCTGGCAAGAGGGAGTTATGTAATGTAGGGAAAGGAATAGCCGTGTGAACGCAGATGCAGTCTTAGAAGTGATCTCCAGCACTGTAATGTAGAATAATGAGGTGATAGGGGTTTTCAGATAGCTTCATCTTTTATATTTGTATGGAGATCAGGAAAAAAATGAAGTAATTTGAGTAATTTGTAGTTTGTAGTAATAGTGGAGACAAGCACAGATTTCACGAAAGGGTTCAGAAGGAGCCCTTCACAAATGTCTCGGGGAGCCACGTTTGCACCTTAACAGGGAACAAATGTTTGTTTGAGCTGGAGGTACTCATGCTAAAGATTGCAAGTGTCGGGGACCAAATTTGGGGCAGCTTGTCTGGAAACCAGAGGACTTGCCCCTTCAGTCTTTCATTGGCAAGCATCATTGTTTCTCTTCTGATGACCATTACTATCATTAACTCATGGGATCTCTGTTGGATCCAAGACTGTTGGTCTTGGATCCTCAACATCTCCTTTTGTTTGCATAGATTTGTGGGTGAGGTTTGTTGCATAGAAACATTTTGGACATATGCTGCGTAGAAATGTGGAGGGAAAAAAAGCACTCCAGACTCAAATTCTTTTTGATCAAGGTAGAAAAATGTGAAAAGGTCACAAATTACAAGATTCTGCAGTGAAGGTTGATGTCTTGAGTTTTACACTACAAAAAATGAAGTTGGTTTAAATGGTTTTATTAGATGGAAATTTCCAGTTGGGGGGGAGGGGGAAGAAAAAAAAATAGAGGAAAATATCCAAAGCTATAGGTTGGTAGATTTGTTGTGTTATGATATACTAGTTTTTGTTTTGTTGTTAATCATGGTCCAGTTCTTCAAGTGTGTGTTTGGTGGTCTCATCTCATGACAGTCTATCTTGAGTTGACAGAATCTGTCTCATATTTTTCTTGGAGGGTGTAAAGGTTTTGGCCAAGATTTTCAGGAGCTGTGAATAAGTCTTGTTTTGAGAGAAGGGGTTACATGATTTCTGAGAACAAGTTTTTTTTTGTTTTCTTTTGTTTGTTTGTTTTTTTTTGTTTGTTTGTTTTTTAATGAGCATTTTAAGCCCCAAATTGGGTAATTTTGGCCCCCACGTTTCATTTCAGGTGACAGGAGTACATGAGTGAATTAACTCTCAGAGTTTACTCTTGCTCCCTAGATATTTAGGGGGACTTTCATGGGCAAATCAAATAGAAATGTCTATGTGCACTTCAGTTTTAGCCTCTTCATAAACATCCACATATCTCCAAAATCTCTGTGGCAAATTTGAGTGGTGGTGATCAGTGGTGCTGACACGCGAAGCTTCAGCTGTCTCTTGGCCATGACTTTCTGGATGTGTGTTTGCTTCCAGTACTAAAAGTAGACTCTTTTGCAGTACTTGAGAGCTAGTGCTTTTTAACTGTGTGTTATGTACAAACCGTGAAGGGGGGCGGGAGGGGGTCTTGTAGAGGTCTAATGGCATGCCTTGGGGTTGACCTTGTTGCTTGCTGGCAGTGAATGCACCATCCGTTATTTTGTATATGCCACATTTATAGGGAACTGATCAATGGGAGGGTTTTTTTGGGGGGTGGATTTCTGCAAACTTTTAACTGTCCCATCCTCATCTCCCTCTACCTGTCAAGCTAGGATGGCTTAAAACCACCAGCACAACCACCCAAGAAACCTGGAGCAGCTGAAGACACTTCCTGCTCCTCTTGATTGCCAGGTATGGGGAGCAAAAGCCCCAAGAGCAAACAGCTTGGTGGTGTCTGAGCTGTGCTGAAGGCCAGCCCCAAGCTTGCATGGGACTGAGGAAAGTAGTTGTGTTTTTTGG